CCACTTGTCATTGCCGCCCCCTCCCTGCCAGGCCATCCTTGTCTCAGACAAGAAGGCATTGTGTGCCCTGGTTTCTTGCCTCTCCAGCTTTTTCCTTCTTTCACCATTCCCTTCCAGCTCCCTTTGCTCCACCCTGGCTCAGGGTTCCCCAGATAAGCCACGCATGCCCGCTCACTCTTTGTCTCTCAGATCTGCCTAGAAAGCTTTTTCTCTGATTCACTGCAACAGGGGCTCTCAGACAGGGCTGATCTCACCTCTTCCCCCAGCAGACACTTGGCAATGTCCAGAAGGGCTTTGGCTGACAGCACTGGCATCTAGGGAGGTGAGAACATCTGCATTGCACAGAACATCCTCCCATAATGAAACCTGTCCAGCCCAGAGTGTGGGTGTTCAGGCCAAGAATCACGTGATCTTCAGATCTCAGCTAAGTGCCCCCTTCTTAGAGGAGGCTCCCTGTGATAGCTCAGGTAAGATCTGAGCTCTCCTCCTGTCTCTCCCTGCCTCCATGCCTTCTCTGCTTCCAACTTCACCTTCCTGTTAATGCACACCCTGGGAGGCAGCAGTGGTGGCTCAAATACTTGGGTTCTATGCTACTGGCTTCAGCATAGCCCAGCCCTGACACAGCAGGCATGTGGAAAGTGAACCAGCAGCTGAGAGGTCTCTTTGTTTCCATCTCTCTGTCTTTCTGCCTTCCAGATAAATAAGTAAATATTAAAGAAGTGGAGTCATAGCCTAATTCCACCACGTTCTACTTGAGTGACCTTCATCAAGTTGCTTAGTTTCTTTGCAATTCAGTTTCATCATCCATGAAAGAAGCATAAAAATAGAACTTGTTTCCTAGTCTTGTTGTGAAGACGAAAAGACAGAGGATGTGAAATGCTTAGTGCCCGCTCTGTCTCTGGGTAATGGATCAATAACTGTAAGAAGGGAACGCTGCAGAGCCATGACACTTGTTCCAAGGGGCCATGTGGCACCAGGCCCTGGTGAATGACCACAGGGACAGAAAGGCAACCACAGGGAGGCAGCCAGACAATCCCCACCCCTTTAAAAATTATTTTTATTTATTTATTTTGGCATGCAGAGAGAAAGGCAGAGCTTCCATCCACTGGTTCCTTCCCCCAGATGCCTGTAACAGCTGGGAGGCACCAAGCCAAAGCCAAAGCTTGGAACTCAGTACAGGTCTCTGGGTGGATCATTGCTGCTGTCACAGTGTAGGAGGAAGCAGGAACTGGGAGCAGACTTGGGATTCGAACCCAGACACTTCAATATAGGATGTGGATATTTTAACAGAGAGGTCAAGTGCTTGCCCCTTGTTCTCTTCTTAACTTCTGCAGCTCTAGAATGCACCTCCAAACATTCCAATTTACCTCTGTCCTGGGCTTACTGTATATCCTAACAGCTTTCCGTCCACAGCAGAGAGGTGCCTAAAGCACACTTGTAGGTGAGAGCAGCCTCCACACTCACTCCTGCCACTCCCAGAGCCCTGGCACCCTCCTTCTTATCTGGATTCCACCTCTTGGAGCCAGCCTTGCTTGGAATGGCAGCCCATTTCCCAGCCTCCCTGTATCCTGCCTGTGGTGTCAGCAGGTGGAAGCAGCCTGGTTGCAGTACCCTCCAGGTAGAAGCTCTGGCCTTCTACCCTCTAGGAGGCTGCAGTGGTAGGGTGGTAGGAAGCAAGGCTTCGCCGTCTCCAAGCCTCTTTGCTTCTTCTTTCCCTTCTAGAAGCACTCAAAAGCTGCTTGGGAAAGATCCATTTCCTGGCCAGCCAGGGTCAGCCAACAGAGATGTCTGTTGGAAGGTGGAGGGTCTGGGGGTGGGGAAGAGGGGCTGCCTGTTTAGGAAGGATGTCATCTTGGGCATGTGGAGGCCACAGACAGGAAATCCTTTCACTCTGCGGGCAGACCTCAGAGCAAAGGCCACGCTGGTAGCATCCAGGATGTCCAGCAACCACGTATACAGAGCTGAAATGGCACCGGCTACAGCAGCCTGGGGTGGGCAGGTGGGCAAGGCCTGAGACTCCACAGCTGAGGGAGAAGTGGGAAGCTAATGCTTGGGGCATCAGCTCATGGGAAGGACCCCCAGTGCACAGTCCGACTGTGGTCCTGAGCAAACAGCCCATGGCTTCTGTCCACTGGTTTGCCTTCTGCTCTGCAGCTGGTGAAACCTGACAGGTCAGTTTCTAGCTCTGGGCTGATTCTCTTTCACTTCCTGCTTCTCATACCTGTAAGCTTGAGAGTCTATGTTTACCTCCTCCTCGGCTTGCAGAAAGATGAGATTCTTGCCCGATGCACACAAGGAAAGGCCTGGTCTCCCTTAAGCAGCTTGGCAGGCGTGCTGCTTATGAAGTTATTAAAGAGCTGAGAACTGAATGTAGACCTCTTAGATTCAAATCAGTCTGAGGGCAGATATTTAGCCTAGTGATTAAAATGCCCACATCCCACATCTGAGGGGTTGGGTTTGACTGCTAGCACCAGCTCCTGCCAGTGCTGCTGTAGGAAGCAGCCGTTCCCGTTACTCATATGGGAAACCTGAACTGACTTCCCAGCTCCCCAGCATCAGTCTGGGCCGTTGCAGACATTTGGAGAGTGAGCCAGCAAATGCGAGCATTCTCTCTCTCTCTCTCTCTCTGGCTCTCTCTCACTCTCTTTCTCTCTTTCCCTCCCATGCCTCTGAAATTTAAATTTTTTTTTTAATTTTAAAAAGTAGTGACTATCCCAAGGGAACTCTCCATGGTAAGAAAATCTGGGCAAGAAGGACTGTAGTGTCAGCTTTCTGCCTACTCAGCACCGTCTTTGCAGGAAGCAGCAGTTTTACCGAAGTCTCTGTTTTGATCAACTTTGGAAAAGTAGGCAGGGCCCAGCACAGTAGCCTAGTGGCTGAAATCCTCACCTTGCGTGTGCCAGGATCCCATATGGGCACTGGTTCATCTCCTGGGCTGCATGCACTTCCTTTCTATTGCTCTACTTGTAGCCTGGGAAAGGAGCAGAGGACAGCCCAAACCCTTGGAACCCTGCACCCGCATGGGAGAACCGAAAGAAGCTCTTGGCTCCTGGCTTCGGATCAGTTCAGCTTTGGGCATTGTGGCTACTTGGGGAGTGAACCAGCAGGTGGAAGATCTTTCTGTTTCTCCTTCTCTCTGTAAATTTGACTTTCCAATAAAAATAAATAAATCTTAATAAAAAGTAGACATGGTATGTTTTAGAAAATAATAATAATCCCCCAGAGTATTGCATACCTCACAGTCCCCGTCAACAACTGAACATGTTGGTGACTAGAGAGTGTGCTTGGTGCAGCTGGGGCAACTGCCTCCCATACCAGAATGCCTGAATTCCAGTCCCAACTCTATGCCTGGTTCTAGCTTCCTGTGACTACAAACACGGATGTCTACAAATACTGGCTCAAATGCTTGAGTTCCTACTATCCACAAGAGGTGGCTGGAGTCCTGGCTCCTGGCTTTGGCTTGGCACAGCTCCTGCTGTTGGGGGTATCTAGGAGATGAACTAATAGATGGATGATGAGAGAGATACAGCTTTCATTCACTAGTTCACTCCCTAAACGGCCACAATGGCCAGAGCTGAACAGGTCCGAAACCAGGAGCTAGGCGCGTCTTCCCAGTCTCTTCCATGGGTACAGAGGATCAAGGACCTGAACCCTCCTCTAACCTTCCAGGCCATTTGCAGGGAGCTAGATCAGAAGTGGAGCTGCCTGGACTCAAACCAGTGCCTATATAGAATGCTGGTACTACAGGTTGAGGTTTAGCACACTACACCATGATGCCAGCTCCCAAAAGTAAATACTTTTAAAAGCAAATAGTTGAGTTACTGAATGGAAAACAGAGGTGGTTTGGCAGGGCTGGGATCATGTAAGGTGCTCATGGCACACATTTCTGGTTACTTTCTAATGGTTCAACAACCCTCCAAGGCCATTGTTAACTGTGGCCCTTCACCTGTGGCTCAGAGCTGCTGAAAGAAAGCTTTCACCAAAGACAGAAGGAGGGGAAGGAAGAGTGAGGAAGGGAGGGAGATGGCTCATCAAGGATGGCTATTCATGGACTAGGGAGAGGTCCACACCATGGGCACCCTGTGCCTCCACATCCTCTTGCTCCAGATGCAGTCTCTGTGCAGAGGCATGCCTGTGCAAGCGGCTTATTCCCCCACCAGAAGCCAGAGATGCATGAAAAGGAGGTTGCCAGGAGCCCAAGGCAGGTGCCACTGGGACAGGACTGAAAGGAATGATAAGAATGTGAACTAGCTTTGTACTGTCTGTGTGCCAAGCTCTCTGTTATGCACTTTATGGCCATGGTTGTATAATTCCCCCAGCAACTTGATAAGGAAGCATCTGGATTCAGAGCTGGACAATTTTGGTTTCTGTTTCATCCTTACCTTTTTCATGTTGCATGACTGTGAGAAATTTTGAAAACTCTGTGGGCGTCAGCTCCCTCATGTGTGAGATGGGAAGAATAACAGTACCTCCATCAAAGTGTTCTGGGAATTCCTTTAGGTAATACATTGAATAAGCATCAATAGGAGGTAAATGCGCCATAAATAATCAAGTGGCATTGTTATTTTGCCTCTGGTAGCTGATACCCAGGGTTGCTTTAATCATGTGCCACAAGCTGTGGCTTAAAAGCCTGGGCTCACAGTTCTGTAGGCTGGGAATGACAAGGTCAAGGCATTGGTGGGTGTTGAGGGCTCTGGGAAAAAATCAACATTGAGACCCTTCCTTCAAGTCAGTTTGTATTCTCATGACCTTGGGGGCTTAAAACTTTAGCATAATTTTTGTTGGGAGGAAATAACCCATAGCACAAGGTTAATAACTGGCTCAAGGTCATATCAACTGGTGGTGAGGAAACAAGTCCTGAAGCCTAGAGTTATTAGATGAAAACCCCATGGCAGAAATGCCAGTGGGAACCTGACATCACTCAGCGTTCTCCGGTGAGATGTTCAGAGCCTAATGCTTTTGTGTGGTTGGCATTTCCTTTTTCCTCCGTTCTTCCATAGCCTGCCTGCTCCAGGCTGAACTGGTAAACTATGAGCGAGTCAAGGAGTATTGCCTCAAGGTCCTGAAGAAGGAAGGCGAGAACTTCAAGGCCCTGTACCGGTCTGGTGTGGCGTTCTATCACCTTGGAGATTACGACAAGGCACTCTACTACCTGAGAGAAGCGAGGACCAGACAGCCAACAGGTAAGGCAGCAATGGCCCTTTGCTTCCTGCCACCTCCCTGTGGAGCTGTTGGAGCACTATCATGAGGCAGACAACTTTCATAGCTGGCTGGTCTGGGTGCAGACAAACACAGTGTCAAATTAGGGTATGCCAGGTCCTAGAATGAGGCAAGCACACAGTCCTTGCCATCACCTGGATCTGGGCACCAGAGAGCTTGGGTAGCTGTCCTTTTCAAAGAAGGGACAGATGTGTTATCTTTCCAGCTGTCTCATTTAATAAATGCATGTTGAATTTGCACCATATGCCAAGATCACTGTCTGACACCAGGGATATATATGGGAAGACAGTCTCTACCTATGAAGCTCACATCTGGTTAGTGAAACAGAATGTACAAATATATCTTTAATTTAATTTGAAAAATGAGAATTTGAAAAGGAGAGAATCTTTTATCTGCAGGTTCACCCTTGAATGTCCAAAATAGCCAAGATCAGGTGTCATTCAGGCTTCAGCCAGGAACTGGGAGCTCAAATCTGGATCTCCTATGTGGGTGGCAGAAACTCAACTGCTTGAACCAGCACTGCTGCCCCCCACTCCAGGGCCTACATTGGCAAGAAACTGGATTCAGGAGCCAGAGCCAGGAATCGAATCCAGATGGCATCTTGACCACCATGCTAAATTCTAATTTAGCTGCTAATTTCAGCAATGGAATTGGCCCATTTTGTGGACAGAGGTTTTTCTCACCCTGCTTATAAAGACTAAAGTAAGCAAAGTCATTTTTAACTTTTCCTATTAAAAAATAATACCTCCAACTAACGAATATGGACTATTGTGTTAAGCATTTTCAGACCTACCTATTTTGGGCATTCTTGTCTCTAGGAGAAGCAGGTTTGGGTCAGACACATCATTGGTTGTGTGATTCCTTGGGCAACTAATTTCATCTCTCTGAGTCCCAGTCAACTCTTTTCCAAAGCAAGGGTGATCCGCCTCCCCTGCAGGATTACAGTGAGTAGTACATGAGATAAAGGTTCAAACCCTGATTCAGAATAGGCCTTGGAAAATGGTGGTTGTTTCTTGTGAGAAGCAAGAATTCTACCACCAGACCACCAATCCCTGGAGGTTACTTCTTGCAGGTGAAAAAATAGGTTCAGAAAAGTGGGTAACCTGCCTGAGGTTCAACTCCAAGTGTGGTCTCCACTGACTGCTGACTCAGAAACCACTGAGCTTACTGCTACATGGAAATGAGGGAGTAATTCTCTCCTCCCCTCCCTCTTGTCTGTCCCCTGGGTCACTGTGACCCGTCCACATTGGCCAAGGGCAGGTAGGAAGAAGGCCAGCACTGATGCCTCTCAGCCCCACAGCAGGTTGGCAGAAGGGCCCTTGGCTGAGGGAGGCTGGCCAGCTTGTGACCTGCAGGTCCAGCCTGGTCATCCTCTGCAAAGGCAATAGTTTCCTCACCAGCTGTTCCCTAAGGTATGTTTCTCTCCTCACAGACACCAATGTGATTCGGTATATCCAGCTGACGGAGATGAAGCTCAGCAGGTGCTCCCAGAGAGAGAAAGAAGCCATGTAACCAGGAGCCTTCTCCAGAGCTGTGCCCACGTGTGACCAGGGATGTCCAGGCACCGCTTGTGGAGAGTTCCTCCCTGGGTCCAGCCTCCTGTCCTCACTTCTTCCAGCTCCTGTTGTCACCTGACTCTTCGTTGACACTCAGTGTGAAGAAAAGAAGAAAAGCACATGTGGGATCTGGTGGGGTGCCCCAGGAAATGGAGACACCTTTTTCTTTAGTAGTTCAGCCAGTGACCAACAGGGGCCCAACTTCTGCCAGGACAGCTAGAGAGGAACCTCACAGGCTGGGAATGCCCACTGAGGCTCTGACCTTGGCCAATGCATCTGACAGAGGAGGAGCCTGACAGGTGCATCGTTCCAAAGGCAGCAGGCACAGAGCCCATGGCCTGGACGCTTCTACGGCTTCCCGACAGACCAGAGCATCTCAAGGCAACTGAACTAGTCAGGGTTGGGACAAAACCAGAAGTGCTGGCTAAGCCAACATAAAGTCCAAGAATTTGTGCACTGGAATTCCCCCACACCCCTATTTACTTCAGCCCCTGCCACCCTCCCTCCCTTGTTGTCTTGGCTCATGCATTCTTCTCCCCGTCTCGGAGATCCGAGACTGTGAGGAGTCACATGCCACCAAGCCCACTCTTGGTGCCCTCTGGTGACCACACATACCATTCCCATGACGCCCTGCCAATAGGCAGCTGACAGCAGATGGGCAGGGTGAAGTGGGCCAAGGGTTGGAGCAGGGTGAACCATGAAGATGAAGGAAGGGGTGTGCTACTGGGAGAAGCGCACTGTTTAGGCAAGAGGATTGAGCTGTGGGCTAACTAGGTGTAAATAGAAATAAAACCACACACAGTAGTCCCTGTCTGGTCTGTTGGAGGCAGCCCACAACTCACTTTGAGTCCCTCCCTCCAAGTCTCAATTAGAACTACGGACAGCCAGGCAGGATGGGGTGTCCCCCCAAAGCATCTGGCCACTCGTGCAGTGCTGACTGCATCCTTTGTGCTTTCAAGAGCAGGCTGGGATTATGGAGACTGCCCAGAGGCTTGGTTTTGTGGAAACCTGCACAGCCTCTTTTAAATGAAGTTATCTGGACCCAATATCACGCATGTAGAAAGTGTTCAACAAATATTTGTTGAATAAATTGTGACTGCAGACTGGCTCTCCTGCCTTAAACTAATGTTATCCCAGCCTAGTCTCCTGAAACCTATGCTCTTTATGCTATGCCATATTGCTTCAGTTAAACAAGCAACATTTACTGAGGGCTTTTTGTTTGCCCGTGATTGTGCAATTCGCTGTGGGACATAGGATGCGAGTCCCAGTCTTCAAGGAAATGGAAAAGTTGAGAGATACTAACATGAGATTATTACCAATGACACCTTTGATTTATATGATGCTTAAAATTTTTCAAAGCACTTTCATGTATTTTTCGTGTGATTAGTGAAAGACAATATTGTACAAAACTAAACTATATACAGATGCAATAATGTTCATAGTTAGGATTTATTAAATGCACTATCTTCAGACCTTTACATGTACAATCTCATTTTTTTTCATGCAGTTGCCCTGTGGATATTCTGCCCTTTTGATGGACAAGAGAACAAAGATAAGCTACCAAGAGGACGTGTGCCCTTGAAATGGCATGGCTGGGATTTGAACTAGGTCTCTAACGTTAGAGCCCAGACAACTACATTTTATTTAATTGCCTCTCCATACCTGTTCTGTGGGGCAGTGACTGCTGTGCACAGTATGGATGAGGTTGGGCAGTGTTCTCCATACGAATAGCAGCACTCAGGCTTCCTCGACAACAGACTGGAATCCATTGGTCAGAGCAGTGACAGGCCAGGGGGAAAATGCTGAGACCCAGTACTGTGCATTGCTCAGTCTCTGGGCTCATGGGGGCAGGAAACACGCGAAAAGCCAACCTAGCATTCCTCATCCCAGTTACAAGTAGAAACTGCAAGGAAACCTCAGCAAGTGGAAGTGAATTACAGACGGTTCTTCCTTGCAGAGCTCCAGTGCTGCAAAGTTCGGCTGTCGCTGAGGGACCCAGGAGCCAGCAGCACAGGTTGTATGTGCACAACTCCCCCCAGAGACTCCACTAGCAGCAGCCAGAGATCTGCAGTTGCAGGGGATAAGTTGTTTCAATTTCCACATTCTCTCTGCCCTCTTCCTTCAAATGGCTTCACAGGCTCCCAACCCCAAACTTCTCTGAGGTCTAGCATCATCAAGGAGATGCAACTGTCCCATCCCCAAGCCTCCTGCCTAGAAAGTTTATTTGAATTGAAGAGTGGAGATGAGCTTAGAGTGGCTCAAAGCACCCATTCAAATGGGCAGATTCTTCCTTTGTCCTCAAGCATCAGCAAGGGCACAGGCCGACTTTCCAAAGGGAGGCTGGAGAGAGGTCTCGTTCCAGTGAGTTGTTGGAACAGGGCTGGACAGTTAGAAATGAAACTGTTGCCATCCCAAGGAGAGCCGGAAAAGAACACAGCTAGATGAGAACAGCCTCTCAGAACCTCATGGGACAAGAGTATAGACCATCTGCTTGCTTGGTGATTTAGAGACAAGCTTATTGGGATTCTATTCACTGTGACCTGAGCTTAAACAAACCCAAAGAAAAGAACTGCCTGGGATAGTGGGCGGTATTGGGAGTGAGAGGGCTGAATTTCCTGTGCATTCGTCCAACAGAAACTTCAGTGAGCCACTAAGTAAATTCAAACGCATTCACCTCCCCAAACCTCACACTTGCCTCTCCCTGCCCCTCCCAAACACTGGGCCTGGGATCTCCTTCCACGCTTTGTTTGCAGAGAGCACTTCTGAATGGTAGAGACAGAACACTGTTCACGGGTCTGACCTGCACTGTCACCTTCAGCCTGAACTTTTTGTGATGAACTGGGAGGAAACATATACATCTGTTAAGTTATTGTGAAACCCCCATGTGTTTTGTAGAATTTCTAGGGGCGGGAGACTAAGAGAAAAAAAGTACAAAATTCCACCATAATCCTGCCACCTGAGGCAAATATTTTTATCTATTCAGATACATCTTTTAATTCATCATATGGTATGAGCATATACATAGACATGTACATTTGTTATTTTAAAAATAAACCCAGCCATACTATATATTCTCTTGAATAACTTTTCAAAGTGTATTTATATTTTAGAACATGTTATATGTGCATAGAAACAAAATTCAAAACATACAAAAATCTATCTGGTCCAAAGTTAATCATATCTCTGCCCTAAATGCCAGGATGTAGTTTCATACATGCATATATATAGTATGTTCTTTTAATGATAGCACATTAGGCACATGTTTTGCTCATGTCACTTCATAGGTCATGAACACTTTCTGCATATCTGTCAAACTTTTCCAAAAGCATTTCATTCTATGGACGGGCCCTCATTTTGTCATCAGCCCTCAGACAGTGACTATGTCACTTAGTCCCAATGCGGAGTATAAATAATGTTGCAACTGGCATTCTTGTAACTAAATTTTACACACATGCCTATTTCCTTAGGATAGAATCCAAGAAGGAAATTGCTAGAATATTTTTAAGGATTTTGATACTCATTACCATCTGCCCTTCCTCTAGAAAGTTTGTACCCAAACACTCTGTATTTGCAACCTTGGGACTGTCCCCTGTGTCTTAACTCTGGGGAGTAATCACTTAACAAATTCTTACAATTTCACAGGCAAAAATTATAGTATCTCCATGATATTTCAGCTTGTTATTTTATCTTTCTTTGATAGAAGTGAATAACATTTTCGTATGCTTATTGACCATTTGTATTCTTTCTTTGTGAATTTTCTATTTCTTTGATATTGGTATGCTTAATTATCAATTTGTAATTTTATGAAGAATATTATTTTTGTCAAGAAATGCTGCAAATATGCTTTTCAAGTGCTTTGCTTTCATATTCTGTTTATGGTGCTCTTCGATATACATAAATTCTTAATTCTGCAATTAATTTGTTCTCCTTTTGCCAGCTTCTGCCTACAGTTCATGCTCTCATTTCTATCAGGGTGATCATGCTAAGACAAACTCTGATCCTGTCACTTCCTGGCTTAGCAGTTTTTAGTAGTACTTCAGCACCTGTCGGACCAGAGGCAAAGTCCACACAGGCCAGCCTTGCACTTCCTCCCATTGACTTCCAGGTTCCTCACTGGCCCTCTGACACACAACTCCGGGTGCTTCCCTGAGCCATCTGGGCCTTTCCATGCTCCTCCGTCTGTCTTATCAGCCACTCCTCATCTCCAACCTTCTCTTTGCCTTGTTAACTCCTTTACCTCTTGACCTAGAGTCAGCTAGTAGAAGGCCTTCCTTAGTTTGCATACCTGAAGCAACACAAGCCTACCTCTGCCTAGCATTTGCTACGTCATGTTGGGTATTTGATTTCATGTCTCTCACTGCATGGATGTTTCTCAAGGCAGGCACTGTGGTCTGTTCATCTTTGCAGTCAGATGCCTAGCACATTGAATAATAGATTCAGTAGCAAAAATGACTGGAGGTAAGTACAGAATTTAACTAGATCCCTACTTTGGGAGAAAGATGAGTCAAAGGAAGCCACAGACAAGCCAGCCTGGTATGTTCCAAACTTCAGAACCACCTGCAATTGTTTCTTGAAAGTACAACTCTCAGGCTGTGCCTTAGGCTCACTGAATCAAATTCACAGGGATAAAGTTCAAGATAACAAGAGTTTTTGGCTGTTCTGAAGAGTTTCTATTGACCAGCCAAGTCAAGGGCCTCTGCTGACCCAGGCCAACTTCAAAGCACGTGACCTTTGGAGTGGATACATGCAGCTTTGGGCACCATTTTTCTATTAGGTTTATCTCTGTGGGACAGTTGCTTAATTTTCCTGACCCTGATTTTCCGTCTATTCATGGAGACAATATTATTTCCCTTGAGAAGGTGTTGAAAACATTAAGAAACAGCTCTCTCCCCACTTAGGGCCTGCTGTAGAGTTAAATGCATTATGGACATCCACTTCCTTCCCCTCACCCTCTGTGGCCCCAGTGTTCTCATTTGTAATGTAGCCACTCAATACTTGTATGTTCACCTTCCACTCTCACACACACCTCTTTAGATGGAAGGGAGCTTCCAGCAGACTCTTAGCTTACTCTGATCAATAGGAGAGTGCTTGATGGGAATGAGGGGAGTTGGTCAGGAGGTACCGGAAGCCTCATTCCTTACCCCGTACCCTCTCCACCACC